GCGTGCATGACATTTAGAAGAGGTGGGTGACCTCACAGGAGATTATCTGAGAGATCTAAAATGGCCATAGAAAGTGGCATTGGGGGCTTTCATTTATCCTCACTAACCGCCAGCAATAAAAACGGAGGATGAGTGCATGGATGTGCATGCAGGAAGTATGCGAGAAGCGCTGAGAACATTGGGAGCCAGAGGGATGGTAAACCATACCCCGGCTCCGGTGACATGTGGCTGTCATGGAAGGAGGGAGGAGGAGGACACTATGTGTTTCACAGGACAGAGAGCTTTATTTGATTTTGTGTATGTGTGTGTTTGCTATTAGACTGTGCAGTGAAAGTTAAAAAGTTCTGTTCATTTACTGGTTTCTGTAGGAAAGCATGAATTTGGGTATTCTCCTGACCTTCCTAATTTTAGATATTGTCACCAGGGCCAGGGCCAGCCTTAGCAGCAACTCTGAGGGCAACCAGAAAAACCCCTAATTATTTGACCCCTGCCATCTTCTTCCATCAGTCACCCTGCACTTCCAAATCAGCACCTCAGTACACACCAGGACACACCACCGTTGTTGGGGAGCAAGGAACAAGGTAGTTTTCCTGAGGTCAGTAACAGTAAGGATCCAAAGGGCCCTGAAATGTCTCCTCATGTCTTTGGCCTTCCTCTAAGCATTCATCTGTCATATGTCAGCCAGTGCACACCTTTCTCCTCCAGTCTGCTGGACCAGCTGTGGTGTTCCTGTTGAGCTGCCTGTTAGAAAATTTGAGCAGGAGGAAATAAGCAGTATGGCAGCAGGGACCCTGGTAGCGCTGAAATGACTCTTGCACCCTGGTCTGTTTTTCAAAGCAGAAACCTACATATGCCCTCCTCTTGTGCCTCTCATTCACACCTTCTCCTTCTCAGTCTCTAGGAGTTGACCTCTCGAGTTCTCCCACTGCACGTGAGTCCATCTACTCATACGGATCCTCCTAGTGTCCAAGCAGGCATGTGAATCCTGCCTCTTGTGTCCAAACTTAGAATCATAGTATCATAGAATCATTTAGTTTGGAAAAGACCTCTAAGGTCATCAAGTCTCACCATAAACCTAACACTGTCAAGTCCACAGCTAAGCCACGTCCCTAAGCACATATACACGTCTTTTAAATACCACCAGGGATGGTAACTCAATGAATTCCTTGGGCAGCGTGTTCCAATGCTTGACAGCTCTTTCAGTGAAGACATTTTTCCCCAATATCCAATCTAAACCTCTCCTGGCACAACTTTAGGCCACTTTCTCTCGTCCTATCACCTGTTAACTTGGAGAAGAGACAGACCCCACCTCACTACAACCTCCTTTCAAATAGTTGTAGAGAGCAACAACCCCAGTTCCCTCAGCTGCTCCTCATAAGACTTGTTCTCTAGACTCCTCACCAGCGTCATTGCCCTTCTTTGGACATGCTTCAGTACCTCAAAATCTATCTTGAAATGAGAGGCCCAAAACTGAACACAGTATTCAAGGAGCAGCCTCACCAATGCCAAATAGAGGGGGACCATATGGTCAACTCCTATGTGCTAATAAAGACAGAAGATACGATGTGATGCATCATTACAAAGTCCAGTTCAACTACATGCTGATATTTGCATTTCTGCTCAGGTCAGGTCAGGTCAGGGCTGGCATTAGCACTGTCCTGATAGAAGGGAGATCTGTTAAGACCCATTCTGACCCTGCAAATGATCAGCTAGGAAAGTCATAACTATTATAGGAAGATGAAGAAGCACTGTATTAGATGAAGAATACTCTCAATGGAACCTATTGCAGTACCTGTGAAAAACATTCACTAAGAATGCAGCATGTGTAAGAAAGACAAATTGAATTCCAGTTTCACTAAAAATACAGCAAGGGATTAGATCACTTTTCACAGTACAACACCCAGACAAAATCAGATTTAATTAGTTAGCAGACAAGATTTATCAACCATTGGTGCATATGGACTCCACAGTTGATATCAGGGCCAGAACATTGTCACTTTTCTATTGCACTTGCAGTTAGTCACCAGTCTTCGGTAGATTATCTTTGAAAACATCTATTTCATAGTTACTGAAAGTAATGTAGTGGGAAGTGAGTGTAACATATGAACAGATGTGTTTATTTTATAAATGGCTTTAGACTGCTTCCAAAGACTCAGGAAAACTGGATTTTACCAAGTTTGACTGATCTTATATCCAACCCTTAGTTGTTTTGTCTCTAGAGAACTATTTTATCTAGAGGGGAAAATTAAGGAGCAAAGCTACAGTATTTTTAAAGGTGGAAAACTGGCATTAGGGGGAGTTTCCTTTGCAATTATTCATGCACTAGTAGTACTAGGCAGCTTGTATACCAAAATTAGGATTTTTTTGCCAAGGACATTACACAATCTGCTTCATTTATAAAGCAAAAACTGATTCAAATTAAATGCACATAGATTAGGGAAAACAGGACTTAGTCACAAGGGCAAAAGAAAATTGTTTCAACATTTTGGCCCTAAAGCTTTTACCAAGAAAAACACAACTACTTTCCTTGGACAGCCTTCTCTGATTCTCTTCTCTCAACATCAATTTTTTATAATACAAAATGTCCAAAGTCCTGGATTTTTATTAAAACTTCTCATAAATAATTTACAGACATCATGGAACAAGAGATAAGTAAAAAGGCCATCTTTATCACCCTTGTGAGGGTGACTGAGCACAGTCCTGGTAAGATGCCACTGAACTCAATGAGCTGCATCTCAAGACATTGATTTTGGGAATTCACATCCATAAACACAGTTGCAAGTAACTACAGATATTTTGCTGGTACAGTAAGTAAAGTAGTACAGTGGGGCCTTCCTTTTACTACTAAAAATAATAGCTTATACCACCAGAGACAATGAAAAATCTCCAGTTTAGTTCTATAATTCAAGTTATGCATACAGCCAAACCTCCAGAGTTTTAAGGCAAGTAAAACTATTTGTTTTAGAAATGCAGAAGCATTACTATTTTAATTGAAACCAGAGTCATCAATTGAAATACGTTCAAACTCACCAAAAGTTTTCCAGTAACAGTAATTATTATTTTATCTCTACCTTTACCTTTATCTCTAAGTTCAAATGTTTGGATTTTTCTGTGCAGATGATCAGAGAAATCATTAGGGCATGTTTTTGTTCAGTGGTCGATGATTAAAAGTCTCTCCCCAAATGCGTTGAGATCCTGGTGTCTCATTAGACTAAATCCTTTGCCGTGGGCACAGTGCAATAACTATTTCTGGGTTTCTAACAGAACATGTCTCCATCACATTGTTGAGCAATTCCTTAGAAAAATATGTTCAGTGAGATTAAAGAAGTCTCTCCTTCGGCGTTGGGACAAAAAAAAAAAATTACAGCGCAGAGAACTGGATAGGGAGTTAACAAAGGAAATTCTTCCTCTGCTTTACATGCACAGTGCTTAGTGAGACCAGGGCAATACTGTCCCTTTGATTTACTGTCATGCCAGCACCATGTGGAGACCAGAGCATAGGGGATGATGCTGAAAACTGGTTATTTTGCTTTATTTCATAAGTTCCTCATTAAGCAGGTTAGGCATTATGGGGCAGAGGGGAGTTTTTTTCTCTGTGGTTCAGTTATGATAACTATGTATTTTGCTGCAACCATTCCCCTGGCTTCACTGCTGAGGGGTGGTCATATAACATCTCATTAGTGAGGTGTTAATATATATAGCTGTTAGCGAGTTTGGCCATACTGACAAAGGCTGGCACGTAACCACATGAAATAGGCAAGATTTTAGCATGATCTGTTATTATGTGTTTCTGTGCTCATCTTTCATTGTAAGACCTCAATCTTTCCCTAAATTTGTGCCAAAATCTAACATTGGGCCGGGGCGGGGGAGGGGGGCACCAAAATTTTCCATGCCAGATGAAGGTTTAGATGAAAAGTAACATCGCTTCCACATGATGGTTCAGACCAGTTGTTAACAGTTTGCCAGCTGAGACACAGAGAGCCTTCATATCCTGCTTTTTTCCTAGTACTTAGTTGCTAATTTTATGCTTTAATAAAGATTCCTTGTAGTGCTAAGACCTACCTTGGGATCCTCACTCATCCCCATGCCCCATAGCTGTCAGCACTGAGCTGGTTTAAAACTGTATGTACTGCGAAATTTCATTTAAAATAAAAATGAAAAATGAGAAAAAATATTCTTTGCCTCTGCCTATCCCCTCCCCAGCATGAAGATATTTCGATGGCTACTGGTGGTGACCCTCCACTTTGTAGCAAGGAGTTGAAATCTGGCAAAAGAAGGACGCTTCTGTATCAGGGATGGGTGTTGTTTTCTTTCACTGACACATTGGGACGTGATGACTGGGATGTGGTCCTAGCTCTGCCCATTCCCTGGAATGTCCCCTATGAAGTTTCCTAACTGTGAAAGGAGGGGAAAAAATGTGGCTTTACCTTTCTGCAGTTCTCTGAAATGAGTACTTTTAAAGTGAGTAGAGAATTATAAAAGCTGAGGCCCTGACTCACCTCTCCTCCAACACGTTTTTGGCTCAAGGGATTGTGTTTTCTCCTCTTTTTATCACTTCCACACTGGCAGGAACAATGCAATCCAATATCAGTGACTGATAATGCACTGTGGGGGAAAATTCTTCATTTTTGATTGAATAGACATGTTAATCTTATCAGTATGTAAATGAAAGGTGCTCCTGATGCATTCTGCCTCTTGACACTTTCATTTCAACCTGTCTTTTGGGGATGTTCGCCTCCAAGGAATGCATTAAGGGAAATCAGCCATCAGTGTATAAGGATGAAGCAGGATAGTAAGCAATGTCAGTATTGCATACTGAAAGTAAAAAATACAAGAATGTCCTTTTAAGTGAGCTCCTTTCTAATTTCCTGTACAAAGCCATGCAAATATATGTAATAACTTAAAATACGAAAACATTGCCAGTTAGCTTTTCTATTGTTTGGCAGAGCAAACAAGAATTAAATGGATGTCATTGTTAGCAATATTAAACTGGAAATCTGTTTTCTACCCAGAATAATTATCTTTATTTTAATTGAATAAACAAGAGCCAGGCAAAGAGTTTCAGAACACGTAGAATAGTTTGCAATCAACAGTAGAAGAAAGTTATTACAAAATAGCTCCTCTTATCCCTTCACAGTAAATAACACAAGAGAGACCAAAGAGACACAGTGTATTAAATTTCTCTAACAATAAGATCTCATTTCCAAAAATAGAATATGCATTGAATAGTCTTTATTTATGTACAAACAATACAAAACAAGTGTCAGGGCTTAATCATTGTACGTGAGAGTTGGTGTGATCATACATGATTTTTACTCAGCATCAGCATTTCAACATCCCCTTTTTACTGGGGCTTTTGAAGGCAGTGATCCTTCAACCTTTACTCAGAAGCGTGTTCCATCAAGGCTGGTTGACCTGTTTATTTGAATAAAGGTTGCAGGTTTTCTGTCAGCTAGCACACATCTTGTATTTTCATTGTATCAAGCAAAGGTGATGCATAAATATCAGAACACCAGTGCATTTTACATTCTCAAGAAAAAGAAATACTTTGGCTCTACAACAAAAGAAGAATTTAACTAAACTGATCAGAAACACCATCCTTTTTAATATTTTCATTTCCTTTATTACACATGATACATGATTCCTGTTCTGTAACCAGGAATACACAGCAGGAAATTAGACATTACATTCCTCGTTTATTCTACATTTTGTCAAATAATTTTAAAACTCTTTTGTCCATATTGATTTTTTTTTCAAAAGGAAAGAAACCAAATTAATTCCAAATAATGATTTTAAATTTTTTTAAATTATTTATTCTACTTTTGCTCAAACTTCAAATTACCCTATACCTTGTTCTCCGGTCAAAATAATTTCTGAATATACACACATTCATCACTAGTTGCTGTGTTCTGTTTTATTGCAGCAGTACTTTCTTATGTTAAGCAAAATGGACAACAAGAAAATGTTGATATAAATGTACAAAGATGCTTCCTATGGGCTATTGCAGAGTTAGGAAGTTCATAGTCTTCATACAAATATATAAAATATTTCAAATTATCTCCATTCATTGGAATCTGTTCGGTTTCTCTTGTCATACCTGTGTGACAAACACAAGACCAGAAATTAATCATTTAGCAGTGCACTCACGGGTATTTTGAGAACATGCAGAACAGGGACTGTGAGTTGTGAGGGAGAGTATACTCCCCACACCTGCAATTTTGCTTTCACCGAGTGTTCTTGTTTACACCCAAGCTTGGGGAATACAGAGTGGGCTTGAAACAAATATTTTTTATCCACTAGCTTTTTCCACCCACTCTCCAAATCTCTGTCTGATGAAACCTCATGACTCTGTTAAGAGCTCAGGCCCTTCAAGCCTTGAGTTTTGCCCTCAGTACAAGCCAGCTGTGCCCCCCTTTGCCCCCCGCTCCCCATCCCCTTGTCCAGCTGCCCTCTCCTGCCCGGCAGAGCACAGGGGGCTCCAGGGCTGCCTCTGCCCTGGGGTGAGCAGTGTCCAGCCCTACACGGGCCCTCGGAAGCATCCCCAGGGAAGCCTTGGCACTGCTTTTGCAGGCACTGTTGGCAAATCCTGCCATATGGCACAGCGGTGCCGTCACACCACAGGTAGTAGGGATGCATCAGTTGGATAAAAATCAAAGTACTATTTAAATTTACCAGTAAATACTATTTACTGCTATATATGCATATGTATACATATTATTTCTTAAATTTTTTTTCAGCTGCTTTGATTATCCTCTTCTCTTGCTTTCTCTGCTCTGCCCATTAGAGTCCTTACTGGTCACGAGTCTCCTTTGTCTCCTGTCCAAACTGAACAGCCCCAGGGATTTTCAGCCTGTCTTCTTTTGGTAGTGTGTCTGTTCCTGTAACTATTTTTGTCACAACTCCATTCCTCCCTTATTTCTGCTTTAAGTTCCATAGACTGACCTGCACTGAAGACTGTATTCTGGACACGACAGCATAGTATTTTTCTGTGCTGTTTGTATAAATTCCACTGGACTTATTTTATTTACTTATGTAAAGAGAGGTGGTGTTGGGGGGGGTGAATGATGAGCAATTTCCATTGACCTGTCTGCAGTGACTCTTCCCTGCATAGTCACAGCTAATTTGAAGCCCAGCATAGGGTCTATTCCTGTTCTCTTTGAAGTTAAGAGATATCTGTGGTTGCTGTTGATGTCAGTGGTTCCAGACAGTTCGATAGTGAAGAAAACAGGTTTTGCACTTAACTTTCAAAAGTTCAAAACACTAACTTTCTCAGCATATATGTTTAATCAGCTAAGATGTATATATTTGGGGTGGGGAAATACCTTTGTTTTTTGTAAATGTTGTTGAACAAATGCTTAAAAAGTAGAAGAAAAGCCACAGGACAGAGAAAAAAATGACAACCTTCTGTATTTCACAATGTTTTAGATAGAGTGAGTTTTTGCTGTGCTCCTGAACATGCGTAGGCTGTACGCATTTGAACAAATATTGGAGGGACATTCAAAAGGCTGGAATCGCTTAGCTTTGAGAAGAAACACTTCCCTGGAGAAAAGAGGTGTTATTAAGAGAAACCCTGCACGGCTTATACTAACCGCTTGAAAGTGTTGGTGGCTTTTGAATAAAGAAGTCAAAAGTTAATTAACTTGACTTGAAAAAAAAGTGAGGAGGTGTCATTGTCCATGGGAAAGAGGTCAGTCATAAACCCATATGTAGTGCTACTAACACACTCTGTGGACATTTGCAATCAAACAACATTATTGTCTCATAGCCAGAGTACTTTTTTTTTCAGCTGAAATTTCCTTCCAATCAGGTAATTTTAGGCACTTATCTTTCCAATCTCAAAAACATAATCCAACTTTAAGGCTGTGTTTGATGGCTCCCCAGGATACGCAGGCACGTGTAATCCTGTCCTATATAATTACTGCCTGCCTACACATGCTCCCCTTCTGTTTCAGTCAAGTATTCTCCTTTCTCTTTCAAACTGTTCTGTGCCTGTTCCTGAATATCACAAGGTGACTGTTTTCTAGTGGTGGGTGGATAAAACATTGCCAGCTGTGATTGAACCCAAGCACCCAAGCCCAGGGTCAGAAGAGAGGGTGTGCAGAGCACAGTAAGCACATCGGAGCATAATGTGGGTCTCAGCGTCACAAGTGTTTTCTAATCCTTCTGCTGAAAGAGGCCAACATCACATTCTGCTTCCAAATGCATCATGGACAGGTTTGTGGTGTGAATGACAACTGTAACTTAGCATTCTGGTTTTTTTGGGGATTACAGAGGATTTTTTATATCTTTTTAGCAGATTCAAGTGCGCACACCAAGCCCCCAGGAATCTTGGTGATAAGGGTACAAAGAAGATGGAGCCAGACTTTCCTCAGCAGTGCCCAGTGACAGGACAGAAATCAAAACACAGGGAATTTCATGTAAGCAGGCAAAAAACTTATTTTATTGTCAGGGTGGTCAAACACTAGAGCAGGTTGCCCAAAGAGATTGTGGTGTCTTTATCCTTGGAGATATTCAAAACCTGACTGGACATGGCCATGAGCAAGGTCAAACCCCAGTCCCTACTCCCTGTCTTGAGTAGGGGATTGGCCTTGATGGTCTCCAGAGGTGTTCTAAAACCTCAGCCAGTCTGGGAAGAGCCTTTCTTGATCTCAAGGAAAGCTGTCCTCCACTCCTGGGGACCAGGTGCAACAGGCACTTGCCCCTGTTTTGCTGTGGAACTGTCAGTGAGTTTAATAACTACAACAACAAGGTGTTATATACCGTATTACTGTGTTGTTAATAACCCAAGCAATCTGGCTGCAGAGATTACTTTTAGCCACTTGCTCCTTCTTCAAATTCTCCCTTGTCCTCCCTTCATGTAGCCATAGATCCCAGACCTTTGATGCCCATCTCCTGCTGAAATCAATAGTAACATCACTTAATATCTTTATGACCTCAGGGCTAAAAGGCTCCAGCTGGCATCATATCCCAGGCAGCTGAGCAAGACCTCTCTTCTTCCCCCTCCCATGGCACAGGACTCTCACTAGGCAGCGGACCCTACAAAAGGTCTGTCTGCTGTCTTCAGTTCTCCCTGTTACAACTGGCAACTCTAGTCAAAGGAGATCCAGTCTTCTAAGAGGCCATGCACATACAAGACTAATTAATTAATAGAGTGAGCAAAAAAAATACTACAGACCCCAAGAACCCTGCCACTTGCCATCCAAAAGCAGGAGCAACAAAATTGTCATGAAGATGAGCCTTGCCTCCATGCTCAGGTGCTGAGGAAAATCAAGCCCACGGTTCTCAAATTTTGTCTAAAGCACACTGCTTGCAAGCAGTGCTATTTTAACACCTGCTAATAATATTATCTTTCTCTCAGGTGTACTTTCTGCTCTCTGGTTGCTTATAATTGCTACCTGAACTCCCTCTGCAGTCAGTGGACCCTCTATTATCTCCCTGTGATGCTCTGATCCACTCAGACCTCCCTCCGACCAGCTCTAATTCTCTCTCTCCCTGCTCCCAAAGGCATGTTATTTTTAGAGCTCTAACTCCTCCAGAGATCAATAGGAGTCTGTAAACTCAAAAATAGGTTGCTTATGGTACATTAATAATCCTCACAGTTATGTTCCCTGGTTATTCTTTCAGCTGCTGCAGCTTATCTACTAGCGCCTCTCTTGCCGATCCAATCAACCTTATTCTACTGAGCAACACTCTGCCATTTTAAAGAAAACAGAAAAGGATGTACTTGACAGCAAAAGCTTAAATGTTTTCCTGATTAAAGACGGACATAAGCACATACTCAGGAGCTTTTTTGAATCATGGAATTAGGTGTTTTTTCAGCCCTCAAGACTTTCTTCATTCCGTGTCTGAGAATCTGCAGGGCTGTGATTGCAGTCGATGAGATGCCAGCGTTAACTTCTGGGACAAAACAGACTGGGTCCCTGGGTTTTCGAACCACAGGAAAAAAGCAATAGCTATTTTTATGTCAAAAATAATCACATTTTTGTGCTATTCACCATAGATGCAACTTCAAAAACACATCTAAATAAACTGATGAATTGCAAAATCTCACTTTTTTTTTCTGCCTTCAAAATTAGAGTTTTTAATGTTGAATCTCCCTTTTATTCCCTGAAAATATGCCCAAACTGGTTAACAGCAAACACATGAAAGATTTACTCTAAAAAAAGCACCAGTAATTCCAACTGTCAGTATTTTCTGTTCTTATACAACATGTTAGCTGAAAGAAGATGAAACATGAAATGAATCCAGATTTTGGCTGTATCTCCATATTTGCAATAAAATGACCACATTCAGTACTATTATTATATAATTAAGGACCATGCGTGAATCACCTGAGGGTTAAATAAAATTTGTCTTTATTTGAACAGTTTCCAGCCTTACGTATTTAAGCCAAAGATTCTGTTAAGGTAGCCTGTTTTATAACAAGTAACTTTACAAAGGAGCAAACAGACATATCCCATTAGCACTTCATAGAAAATCAGTGATTATAACAAGTGCAGCAAGGTTCAGTAAATGCCTCCCACTCAACAAGCTTCCAAAGTGAACGACCACATGATGTTTACTCCTCATCAGAACCCATTTATAGATCTCTTACTCACCACTATCACAGTCATACATGCAACATTTAAGAAAAGGCAGCAAGAAGTCCTCTATCTGGGAGCATACGGGGGCTTACAGTTGGAGAACTGGGTCTTTTCTTTACAATACTGTTTAACCAAGCTGTGAAGCATGATTTAAATCATGCAAACTCTACAGATTATAATCAACCAAAAGCATTCATTACATACAGTGGGCATAGCACATGCTCAACAGGTAGGGCTGCTTGGACAAAATTTTGCACTAATTGGAAAAAATTGATTAAAAGGGTCAAAAAATGGCTCTTCAAAAGTGCAAGTGGGAAATTAAGGTAATTATTTCCTATGGAGTTAGGAGACCCAGGAAAGAGTTTTGTTCCCACCACTTTTAAATGACATCTGGGCATTCCTAGCAAATAACACCCTGGGAATGAAAAGGGTATCAGTTTCAGTAAAGTAAGAAGGGGACAGAGTTCATGAACTTGTGTTAGTCCAGAGCAGAATTAGCCTAGAATTACAAATA